TCCGCTGGGGTCGCGGGCAGGGCCCACCTGGCGCCGGCGGCGAGGCGAGGCGAGGAGAGGCAAGGCGGCGGCTGCTCCTAGGAGGGCGGCGTCACAACCGGCTCCTGCAGCTCACCGGAAACCTCGGTGCGGCAGCCGGGCCAGGGGGCGCCAGGGAGCAGCGCGGAGACCTCGGCCAGCCCGGCCCTCTGGGGCAGAGGCAGGGGTGGGAAGCGGCTGCTGCTCTCCGGGTGCTCGTCCTCCGGGGTCACAGGGCCAGCCTGACTCAGCCCCCACCCGGGCACAAGGACGAGCGGCTGTACAGCAGCCGGACCCTGCCTCCGCGTCTCAGCGGCCCTCTCCGGCTGGAAGACGGCGCGAACGCGCTTGAGGGGCTCTGGGGTCCGCGGGTGAAGGGCGAACTCTCTTCTGCCCTCCTCTCGTGCGTGCAGGCGGAATTGTGCTGTCTTCTCCTTTCGGCAGAAGTTGCCCTCCTAACTTGCTAATACAGAGACCGGACCATTCCGGAGGTGAAGGATACTTTGGAGCCTACAGTTTTTAAAAGCAGTTTACTTTTATCTCGCAGTAAACTCACCAAGTTTAAATGCTGCTATGTGAGGTTCAGTTCTTACGGTTTTGTTACTTTATCACTATTTCTAGTATAACTGCTTGTTTCTATTATGATTATTTGAATGTCCGTCTCGCCACTTTCCCACTCGCACCTTGCAGCTCAGCCTGGAGCCTGGAGCACGGGCAAGTTGAGCATTAAATACTGATTCAACTTGCCATCAAAACAAACATGCTCAGACAGAGCACACGCCAGTAGTAACGTGATCATAGAGGAGCTCGTTTCTTCCCAAAGGTTTACTGAAATAATTTTTCTAAATGCTGTTACAATTGCTACAAGTTGTATTTGTCATCTGCTAAATTCACATTACCTGAAACTTTTAAGTAACAGGAAATCATATCTGGTATTTCACACTATGAGGCTTAAATCAAAAATGCAGTATTAATCCACTAATCTTTATTTTAAAAAGGAACTTTGCCTTCAGGGCAACCATTGCTCTGTTATGTTATGCTTTGCCCACCTGTACAATAAGGACAGTAATATTGCTTTGGTTTGGTAATATTCCTTTGGTTCGGTGCTGGGACTGAACCCAGAGTCACAGCCTTCTGCCACTGAGCTACACCCCTGGTCCAGGACACCAATTTGCTTTTCCAGCCCATTTATTACTATCCTATTTTCTGTTATGCACAGGAACTGTAGTTTTTATTAGTTAATTCAAAATAATTGTAGTCATTTAAAATGATTTTTAAACCCAGGCTTGGAGGTATACACCTGTAATCCCAGCACTCTGGGAGGCTGAAGCAGGAAGATTAACAATCTGAATCCCATCCTATTCAAATTGGCAACTCAGTGAGACCCCGTCTCAAGATAAAAAACAAAAAAGGGCTGGGGATGTAGCTCAGTGGAAAGACCCTGGATTCATCCCCTGTACCACCGAAGTAAAAAATAACCCAACTTTCTACAGGTTGACATTAACATAAATGCCCAGCAAGAAGAGATTCATTAGATAACTATAGTGTACCAGTCAGCTATTTGTGTAACAAATACCTGAGATCACCAACTTAGAAAGAAAAGTGTACTTTGGCTGTTTTAAAGGTTTCTGCCCATGGCCTCTGGCCTTGTGGTATACACCACAGGAAGGGAACATGGGGTGGAGGAAAGTCACTCACCTCATGGAGGGGAAGTGTTATGGTTTGATGTCCCCTCAAAAGCCTCATGCAGTCATGGGGGGGTGGCTGAATCCAGAGTTTGTGGTTGATTCATGGTCCAAAGCTGGGATTAAGAGTGTGAGCAAAAGACCCACCCTAAGGTAGGTAGCCTGCATACAGTGTAAGGGACAGAAAAGAGATGTCTCTCCCTTGTTGCTTTTGCTATCTTCTGCCACCATGAACCACTGCCCTCTGCCTTGGAGCCGGCTGATTATGGACTGAACCTCCACAAACTGTGAGAAAAATAAACCTTTCCCCCTTTAACTCTGGATCGCAGGTATTTTATCTCAGCAACAAGAAAACCGAGACAGGAAAGAAGAGAAGGAAACTGCTGGGTCGATCTCCATGACCTGAAGACTGACCTCCTTCGAGGTCCTACCCACTGTCTTCAGTTTCCACCCTCTCCTGACAGCACCACACGGGGGACAAAGGCTACAACCCGAGGACTTTTGTGGGGCATTCAAGATCCAACCTACACCATATGCTTTAGC